ATAATTTGGTCTGGAGTTTAAACTATGCTCAAAGCATCCCTTCAGACTCTCGAAGTTTAAACTATGCTTAAAGCATCACTTCTTGTTATCCACACTTACTAAGCTTATCATTATTTCGATAACTTATGTCAGTTTTTTTTTTTTCTTATGTTTAGGCTTCGCTGAAGCGGTAAATTTGGCCGGGTAAAGTTGCCAATAAATAGGGAATATGCCAATTTTGGCGGCAGTGTCGAGTGTATGAAGTAATATTGTGGCAATTATGTTGTAACCGTCAGTCGTGAGATATTTTAATAAAGAAATGAAAGAAATTATCTCTAACATTATTATGGAGTTGCTTGAAAAAATTGCTAATGCTCTTCCGAAATGGAACTTGTAATGTACCTCCACCCATTTTGATCATGATGAAACAAACATGCTTAGCCAACTTAAGTGAAAGTTCAAAGGAAGAAGCAATTCTTCTCAAATCATTTCTTAACTGGCTTGTGGTGAATACGAAACAAGAAAAACGCTTTCATGCTGTTCTTACCTCTTCCAATTCATTCTATCACACAATGCCAGGGCATAGGATTTTCCGAAATGGGCTTCCGATCATAAAATTAGCCAATGAAAATTCAGGATCATGTGTAATGTAAAAAAAAATATGAATATTTCAATTTTTAGCTTAATTAACCACCTTCGATGCTCTAACTAAAAATTCTCTATGTACAATTTTACTATACTATGATCTTTTTCTAACCCTTACCCTCCTAACCTAAATATAAATTTTTAAGTTTTTCAAAGTAGCCCGTTTTCGATCCCACGCCCGAGCTAAAGGTGAGTAGCCATACGTAGAAATGTGTCGGTCCTGTGATCACCGAGCATTTCGAGCACTTAAGGTTAGGTTATATAGCGATAGCGATAGCGATAGTAAAATCGCTCAAGGAAAACTTGTAGATTGAGTTACGTTACACCTGACCTTGAAATCTGTTTTAGATCTCGGGACCAACCCTATTTTATGGCCCGACTAAGTTATTTCTAAAGGCCTATACTCTTTAATCTACATTTGTTTCCCAGTTTTACACATCCCATATGTTGTTGGAGATTTGAGTAGGATTAAAATGATTGGTTCTAAATAAGTTGATTCACTTGTAAATTATAATTTTTTGCACCGTCGACCAACCTTACGATTTGCCAATGACATCATTGACCCCGAAGAGAATAATTCTGACTAGAGATGCGATCCGGATATCCGACAGTTTAATTTTATAACAAAATTATTAAAATATGCAGATTTTCAAAAAACTAATAGTTACAAAATTTAAAAAATATTTCTTTTACGACCTATTAAACCAATATTAGCATTTCAAAATAATTAATCAGAAAGTTTCTATCTACAACTTTATTTAAGAACCCAAAATGTGTTTACTTAAAATAAAAGTTTATAATCTATTTTAAATAAAAATGATATTTTATATAATGAATATTAAAAATTTTAAGAATTTAAACACTAATTAGAGCCAAACAATTATTATTAGGGATCTGCAAACCCGGCATGTGCCATGCCAAACAAAAAATTTCAAGGCACCGGCATGGGCATTGGCATTGGCATTGGCACAAAGTGCCTGGCCTAAAAGTGCCCGGCACTTTTGTGCCTACGGGCACTTTGTGCCTAACTTAAAAGTATCAAACACTTATAAAAACAGGAGCCGGGCACAAGCCAGGCACAAAATGCCCATGCCACAAAAAATGCCTGGCCCAAAAGTTCCTGGCACTTTAAGCCCATTGGCATAGACACTGCCCAAGCACTAATGCCAGGCATAGTGCCCAATGTGCCCGGCATGGGCATTTGCAGAACCCTGATTATTATGCACTTAAAAAAGGTGTTGCATTTAGAAAGTTTGTTAAAAATATTATAAATTTAAAAAATTTTATTACAAATTTTATTTTTGCTAAATTTATAATTTTTTTTTTAGGTTTGAAGATTTATCAACTTTGTTAGTTTCTATATTTTCATTAGTTTTACATCTTACGTCAGTTTTATCTTTTGTCATCTTTGTCAGTTCTGAAATCTTCATTTCCAATTTTTTTTTAACGAAAGACGAAATCTGGTTTCGTTTTTCAGCACGTTGACTAATTATTAATTTGGGCTAATAAGAATTCTTGCTAGTTTTGTTAATAGCAATAATTCTAAAGTTCTTTACAACAGAAAGTTTTCTGCTTAGTTCATTTTTGAAGCATTTGTCCAAAAAGCGAGTTGTTACTTATGCAAACTGCTGCTATAAATCTTGGGTTGTATCGTGACTCCCGTAATCTCTTCCTAGGTTAAGAAAGCTATTCTTTAATACACCTTTTTAGTAAATTCCACTGGCTAAAGGTTAAGTACCTTCCTTTACAATAACAAGAAGCTTAACCTTTAGCGTATCTGCATCTAGTTTTAATCTTTTATCGTATTAAGCTACTTTCAGTGTATTTTTTCTTTTTTCGTATTTAGATTCTAAGGATGGGTAAGCTAAGCAATATAAAGTCATGAAAAACCTAGGTGATATGGCAAATGATTTATAAATTTTAATTTTTTTTTAATTTAATTTATTTCGTTTTCTTCTCATCTGCGTCCTTGCTAAAATCAACAAGCACCTCGCCAACGAGAAATTCACTCAATAAAAACAATAATATCATAAATAATGAAAATAACGAACTAATAACAAAATGACTTATAGTAGTTCCAATTTCCAACCAACTTCCATAATCTCTAACCAAATAAAAAAAATTCAAAGTCATAATATCTGATGTCGAAAGAACTAATAAAAATAAACTGAATGGTGATAAATTTAACGATTTGTTAATAATTCCGAATACTGAAGAAACTATAAAGAACGGAATTAAGATTTTAAATATTAATAAAGCACCCATTAAAAATGGATCAAAAATAGTAGTTAGTCTGTATACACTTTGCAATGAAAAACTACTTAAACTCGCAATATTTCCTGTACCAAAAAATGCTACGTTAATAAAAAATAAGAATATTAATGCTATTCGAATATCTTCAATTTCTAATTTACGTGTTTGTACTTTATGTGATAAGGTTGATTTAGGATGTGAACTAATAAATAATAAATGTTCAATTTGATGCCATATCATTAAAGTTATTGTTAAGAAATAGTAAAATAATACTTCATATGAGATACTTAGTAATACGAATAGCGGAGCAAATGCAAGTGTTATAGTGGTCAAACGTTGAAAATAATGCTGCTTTCCAAGTCCATAAACGAATGGTGTTGCTGTTGAAATTACTATATAAAAGATATACAGTTAAAAACTAAAAGTAAATATTAAAGAATTGCATGAATTACCGGTAACTTACCTAGAATTATCCACGCAATAATTTGATTTAAAAAAGGTAATCCGGCTTTATCTTTTAATTTATTAGTTGTATCATATACAACTATTATACTTAATACAATCAACCCAACCTATTCAATTTGCTTGTTAGATAAAATTAAATTTCAAATCGTAATAAATATGTATATATTAAATCCATCTAACCTGAAATATGGTCATATTTCTTCCGTTGATATGGGATCCAACTGAAAAGTTAGAGTTGCACCAAAGAGAAATACATCCAGTAACAACAATCAATAATCCACCAAGAACCCTAAAAAACAAATAAACAAATTATTAAAAGTGATATTTAATGTAAATGAATAAAATTTTTACATACACTAATGTAATATCCTCGCCTTTTTCTACTGGAAGTAAAGTGAAAATACTAGTAAATAGGCATGAGATTGTCCATGCGAAAAACAATAATAAATTCCCGTTCCGTATTTTTGATGAAATAAACCATGGCCATAATGCAGCTAGTACGAAACAAGCACTCAATATACTGCGTTCAAAATAGCTATAAACCTATATAACACGAAAGTTAACAATATATTAATACAACATATTAACAGCAGATATAAGACTTACCAAAATTTCTAATGCGACAATATATCCAATAATATATATTATAGATGTGAAGAAGCTCTGATTATCCAATGCAGATTTACAGTAATCAAAAATTATATTTCGCTCTTTTATAACATCTCTCCAAAAATATATAGGAAATATTGCATAGATGTAATATGTTATAGGCGATTCTTCAATATAATGAAGGCACGTTAATAACGCTAGAGAGATTATGGAAATAACATTGATCTAATCAAATAAATTAAGTCAAGGCTCAAATATTAAAAAGAATTACAAAAAAATAAAATAAAATAAAATAACATACTAGCAATTCGTATGAATCATCACCTGCTACAATGGATTGTGCATTACTATTAAGCACATACTCTTTAAGCGTAAATTTCAAGCTATAAATAATCCATCCTATGTATCCAGAAGTAACTATGGACCTTAGCATGAACCAGTCATACCTGTATATGAAGTATATTGTTACATAAGTCAAATAAAGCTATTTAATAATAATACTGTAATAATAATAATAGTAATAATAATAATCATAATCATAATAACTATCATAAACCACATACGTTTGGAAATATCTCAATCCTTCCAAACAGAGACTAATTAATATCTTACATAAAGCCTCTGCTTCTGCATATTTTTCGATATCGATTAGATGCCGAATATCGTTGATAAACGCCTCGGGAGAATGTGTAGAATTATTTAAAGGAGTAAATGGCCTGAACATTAATTTTGTCTGTTTCTTTGATTCTAAATAAAATCAGTAAATTAACAAAAGAAAGAAACCCCTTAAAAATAAGGAAAAAACAACTTTAAGATAAACTAACAGTGCCAGCAGCTAACCGTATTTAACTTGGTATTGTTCCAAAATTTCTTTAGCATTTACGAAAACACTTTGAGCTTTAAACAATAGTGTATTATTAAGATATTTTAAAGGTAATTCACCAACTGAATTCACAGGATAATTGATCCCTATTAAAGATGCCTTTAAATATCATAAAATATTCATTAGGTTTAATATTACAAAAACATTATGTTTAATAAGATAAAAATTACCATTAAAGGAGCAATATCAGCTTGAAGTATATCATTACGTTGAATATTATTCAGTTGCCAATCCACCGAAAATTCATCATGGCCAGTTGGATGTGCTTTGTTGGGTTTATTTATACCCGCACCCCATGCCACTATTGGAGTGCGTGTGTTATCAGGATGTCCATCACCATGATTACCTAATTATATTTGCAAATCAAAGTCAATGATCACCTAATTAATAGTTCTTCCTATTTGTAATTTATTTACCTCTGTTGCTCATTCCATGGTCAGAAGTAAAAATATAAGCAGTTTTCCCATCATTTTCATAAAATTCATCAATTAATTGTATGGTATTGTAAATTCCATCATCAACTACTTTAATATTATCCAAATACTCTTTAGAATGAGGTCCATAAGCATGACCATTTGTATCCAATCCAAGCAAATGCAAAAAAACAACGATTTTATCATCATGAAGTTGTTGATAAAGTTTAATATTAGATGTAGCATTTGAAAGAAGTTGGGCGAATTTATTGAATACCCATGTGTCCAATTCAGTAGCATCTAAAATATGAAAATACATATGTTAAAAGAATTATATATGTAATAAAAATAAGTGTTGAAGCGACTATGAAAAAGAGCTATACCTTCCGCAAAATTTTCGCTTTCATGGCCATACATAAAAGTGTCAACCCTTTCTGAATCTGAGGCGCCCTCAGCAAACATAGGTAATATATCTGGTGATCCGAATGACCATGTATGTTTGCTTTGATTAAATACTGAATCAAACTCTACAGGATTCATTTTCCAACCTATCAAAAATAAATAGATAAATCAGACAAATTTCCAAATTATTTATCATTAACTATTAGTACTGTGATAAAACCTTTTGTAACAGCACTAACATCCTCATAAAATCCCGCAATTATTGCAACATGACCCGGCCTTGATTCTGTTGGCACTCTCGTGTGAGAAACTCCCCATGTTCCATGATTAAGAATTATATCCCTTAGAAAAGTAGCCCTTGTATATATACCGCTATTATTCTCATGTTGATACAATTGATATAATTTATCCGCTCTTAAACCGTCACCTGTACAAAATTATATTAATATTAAAAATTAGAGTATGGATTGGAAGTTATTGAATAGAATCTTACCAACAAAAAGTACAAGTCTTCGCGCAGGTGGTGGTAAATCAACCTAATCCGAAAACTGTAAATATCTTTTAATTATATAAAATTAAAAGGCCAATTATGGTTTTTTACCTTATGTGGGGTCATACCATGTACCAAAGGTGACGTAAAATATATGTCGAAAATACTCCATATGTACGTCACATGAAATAAGAGGCCAATAAACAGAAGTAAGTTTCTTGCTGCCTTTGCCATAAATAATGTTCCTAAAAAAAAAACTAATTGCGGTAGGTAGTTCTCGATGAAAATTTTTAATCGTAAAACCTCGTAAAAAATCACGCTTTTTTTTTTTAGATCGACTGAAATGCATGTTTATCCTTTTAAAATTTAGAATATTTTTAAAACTTTGATAGAAGATTTCTCAACACACTATTAACTAAATTTGGGAAATTATGTTTATATTCTAATTCTTTAGATTTATATAATTAAAATAAAAAAGAAGTTTACCGAATTTGTTAAGTGGCCATCGAGAAAATGTTTTATAAAATATTGAAAAACAGGTGAAAATCTTAAAAAAATTAGGCTAATTATAAAGTTTAAAAAAAAAAAAAATTGGCCGCAGCTTATTTTTTTTAGATGCTTTGAAGATTTCTAGTATTGCTTTTCAAATTAGTTTTTTTTTTTTAAACTTAAGCGATCTTGCTTATCATTTATTAAAAGAAAACATATATAGATATTATACAAAATTATAAACTAAACTAAACTAGCTATGCATTTGTCTCTAGTTACAAATCAGAACTTTCTTAGTTACTATAAGGTACTCAAATACAATCTACTACAATAGCAAAATTTTCTTTCTAAAAAAAAGGTTTGTTTAAGTAAAGTTATAATTTATTAATCAGCAGAAAGCTACTCTATATTTATATTAAGATCATTTAGTACTATTTTATTCTTAATTTTAGATATTATTCTAAGAAGAAAAATAGAATATAATCTAATTATGTATAAGAAAAAAATAAAAATTGTTTAGATCTAAATAGCTATAATCTATAATATGAATTCAAATTAGAAAATTCTACTACAGATAAAAAAACTAATCTGAATAAAAAGTTGATAAAAAAAAAACAAAGAAAAAAAAAAAACAAAGTATAATCAGTCTATAAACAGACTAATTATATAGTATCAAACAGAGAATTTACCTTTTCTAAAGTTTTCAGAAACTATTGATTATAGTATAAAGACTATAACTTTATAGCTTATTATATAGTATCTAGAATTAAGACTTAACAAAGAGGTTTTTGTAGTGATTTATATTAAGGCTAAGAGGCAAATAATAAATAATATATAAAGATACTAAGTATTATATCTTTATTGAAAATTATATAAAGACAAAACTGCTTTGTTTTAAGGAGCAAAAAGGCAATATATTTATAGAAAATTTACATATATAAATTATTACAATAAAGATAAGTTAAATAAAAATAACTATAAAAAAAAAAAAAAAAACTTTTTCTTGTATCTCTAAGTTTTTTATAAAAATAAAACAACAAACAACAAACAAAAATATACAAATAAACAGATAACTAAATAATTATTAGACTATATAGAAACAAACCTCTCTATAAACTACAACTTAGACAATATTAAGAGAATATACGACAAAGTTTTTGCTATATCAGAACTTACTAAAGACTTGTTGCTAACTAGTTTAACAACAAAACAAAAAAAATACAAAACTATCTTACTATAGTCATACAACAGGCAGTATAGTAAACATGTTACAAAGAAATACTCAGAATAGCAAGAAAAGAAAAAGAACTCTACTACTTCTACTACGAGCAATAGTAGCTTGTAAAATAAGATGCAAACTGAAGACGATATACTAATACAACAAAGTAGCAATGCCTTCCTTCCTGAGAATCTGAGTAATTCTGTATCATCTAAAGATTACAACACAACAAATACAAATCAGAATCGACTGCAACAAACAATAACTAAAAAAGGAAAAAGATCTGTATTGATTTTCTCATATTAGATACTGAAATAACAAATATAGAAAATATAGATTAGGTAATTCAATTAACTGAGATACAGAATAAACTTAGTCTGGGAGAACAAAATAACCATATGTTAGAAGCAGGCTCAAATAACACAATTGAAGATACTAAAAATATATGCCCTTTATATAGTCAAATCACATCACAAGGTCTAAATAAACAAACACCTATTCAAAATAGAACTGACTACAGAAGTATCTGAGTTCAGCAGTTTAAAGAAATTCTATATGATATTAGAAAAAAGAAGCTCAATAGATATGATGTACAAACCTAGAACTTAGATAGAATTATTAATGCTTTTGCAATATCAAATATGATGAAGAAACTAATTAGATACAAACTAGAAATACTTCTAACTTTACTTAATATCTCATATATGATCAAAAAGAAATTTGAATATCACAATATAACCTTCTTTCATTCTTTCACAAGGGTAAGGGAGCTGTCAAAAATCAGGTAATTTTCTAGAGAGGGGGGGGGTCAAAAAAATTGAATTTATATATAGAGAACCTGATCAGTTATATATTAAATCTGAGGGGAGGAGGGATAAGGTACTGATAAAAAAAAATCAGGTGATTAATGACACAGCCCTAATAGCTTCTCGCTTAGCATATTAGCTTGAGTTTGAATTACTAATGTATAATGCTTTAGAATCATACAAGAAGTTATATAGTATTTGTATTATAAACAAGAAAAACTGAGATCAGATATTTATGAAACTACATACAAAACTCTCATTAAATATCTTCCTAAACTTGAATATAGTGAAACTAGATCCATATGAGATAACATGATATATTCTATATTTAATTAATTTTGCAAAGATACAAACTAAGCTAAAATTCAAAGACATACTAAATATAATCAAAGCTGAGAAAGACCACCTCCTCATACCATTACCTGCTACTTCAAATCTTATAGAAAAAGATATTCAGAATGTAATTCCTTTTACACTTCTAAACAAAGATAAATAACAAGCAGATATAATTGCAAAAGTATTAAGAGTTGCTTATATATTCACAAGAATTCTAGAATCATACTTCGATATAAGCAGTTGCTACTTTCAGATTCATCATCATTACTCACTGAATCATTAAGAGACTTGTTCCTAATTACTACTTTTGCAGAACTAAAATCACTCTCAAAATATAAGAAAAAACTACAGTTAACATATATTGTATATCACTTTCTAGATACATACTTTGACCTACTAGCTTCAAAATTACAATTTTCTTATACACTATAGAAGCTTATACCATGTCTTAAAGAGATATTCTCCTTTCTTCCAAAGAACGTAAAAAATTTCAAAGAATATATATACCTTCTAAAAGAGAGTTATACTTTTACAAGACTACTCAATGACTATATTATACAAAGATATTATCTACTAAATAATCCAAACAAACTACAACTCGAAAACAAATATATTTTCCTAATTGAAGATAAGGCTACTGCATATGTATTTATAAATGAAATACTATCAATATATTAGGTACCTATACTATTCTCAGATAGCTATATAATAGTAAATCCAACAGATCTATCAAACCTTACAGAAGAGCATATACAAGTAGATAAAGTCAATCTAACAGTCTTATTCACTACAGCTAAACAACTTAGCATCACAGTTAAAGACCTTAGAAAATACTGCTACTTTAAAAGAATCTCTAAAAGCTGAATTTAAATAGAAAATTTTAATAGTAATACTGTGAATAGTCTTTACAGAATGTCTAATATATTAGAACAACTCTCAACAATTACCAAACAAATCGACTCATTCTCACATCTCAATTTCCTAATTAAAATATATAAGGAAATACTAGAAGTCACAGAACTACTGTACTATATGCATATTTTATAATTCAAACATTTCTTTTATTCGTCTTTGACCTACTAAATCTACTAGAACCTAGTTAGGAGATTTTTAACAATAATAACTTATAACAAACTCAAACTAACACAGACATAGATATCTGTTTAGACGAGATTAAAAATGATTAAAGAAAACTCTTTAGAAAAAATCAACTTCACAATACATAATATGTAAGGATTAAACAACAAACTTAAATTATATAACTAGCTAACATATTGTGAAGAAAAACAATTATATATCATTTCAATAACAGAAACTAAACTCAAAACAGAAAGTGTAACAACTCTAACTAATTCTATATATAAAATTTTTCTATCTAATTTTATACTTAAAAATAATACACAGCATGAAGCTTTTCTAGGAATAGCTCTCGCAATCTATACTTCTATTAGTCTATATATTAACAATACAGGAAACTTTCCTAGCATAGCTATCTTTGTTGATTTTTGGTTTCCTGGAAATAACAAAATCAGGTTTATCTCAATATATATTCTAACAAACCATTCAGAATTAGCACTTAGTACACAAAGAGTAATCAACTCATAGATAACTAAAACAAAGACAAGAAACTAGCAGTGTATAATCATGAGAGATTTTAATTCTAACTACCTCCTTAAAAACAAATATAAAATCTTATTTGTATATTTGAAAATACTAAGTTTAAATAGCCTACTACAATTCTATAATATTATAGCTTCAACCTAGCAACATAGCTACTTATCAAACCAAATTGATAATATCTGGATTACACCAGAACTTACTTTGGATATAGATATACCAAAACTAATTGATCTATATAATATCACAGATAGTAATTACTATATAATAATATCTATCTGGTATACAAACTTTGTACCTAAATAGAGACAATAAAAAAAGTATAAACACAAATTCTACAATTATGACAAAATGACAAAAGAGGTACAAGAAGAACTTAGAATATTCATTAGTAACGAGATACTAGAAAAACTCAGTACAGAGCTATCTATAGTAATCTCATAGAAAATATTATGATTGATGAATACCAAGACATAATTAAAGCTTCTCTATATAATAAAGCTTCTAGGCCTTCACAAATATCAAATGAAATACTTTGACAATTTCTAGAAATTGCAATATCATCACTGCTAAATATTATGAATGCCTGCTTACAACTAGAAAATATACTTAAGACATAGTTGAACTCAAATATTTAGCTAGTTCCAAAGTACTTATAT